TAGCAGACAAAGTTACGTACAGAAACAAGGACCAGGGACTGAGTGAATGCCTGATGAAGAGCTTATATTTCAAAGGTATTGGAAGAGGGAGGCACCAGAGTTCCTTGAGGGGCCTATTTATATTTTTGAAAAAGATTCAATTCAACACTCATTCATTGGCCATCTACTGTGTGTTCTTGGTACATTTCTGTACCTTAATGACTATGATTTGAAAACAATAAACATACGGCTTGGTCTCTTCTCTTGAGGAACCCAGAGGCCATTCAGATGATCTTGGCAGTTGTGTGCCTATTACTCTGGAGTGAGAAGAAATTAAAGGCATATTTTATGATTAGGAGACAAGGACCAGAATTCAGGTGTAAAGTGACAAAATTTGAGTCTGGAGTGGTGGCTGAGAGATAGAAAAGACAAATCGCATATCATAGACATCGTGGGCAAAAGCACATGTGTTATGGCTGAATAAAGAAGGAGTAATAAACAAAAACTTCAATTAGCAGTTCCATTTTTCGTTATTTATTAATGGTATAAGCTCATCACTTATTCACTCATTTAATCATTCATTCAAAAGCTAATTGTACCAGTTACTCAAAGAGTCTACCTTCACCAGTAATCCTGCATTAATAAATGTGTTTTACATTATCATCTTTTGATTTTCTCTAATTAGCAGTATTAATTTTATAGTGAGAGAAATTTTAATTAATTAATATTTAAGTTGTATTAATTTTATAGTGAGAGGAAAAGATAAAGCTGATATCTGAAGAAAGATATCGTATTTTGTGATAGCTCTTACTGTCCTTCTTATACGACTTAAAATAAGAAAGTAGCATTCATTTATTAGTTCAATTTTTTTCTCATATCACTCAGAAAAATCGATCATTTGAAATGGAAATGTCCCAAGCTTATTCTGAGGATTGGTGTGAATTTTTTCAAAAAGACTTAATTTGATTTTACCTTCTAAATAAAAAGAAGAAAAAGAAAACCATTTACATTTTCTGAAAATATACTGTCAGTTGACATTTTTTGTGTAATTCTAAAAGAGTGGTATAAATTTCAACCTGATCTGTGAGAAGATAATTTCATTTTCACAAAGGCTAGTGCTTGTATGATTTCCAGGTACGATATATTTCTAGTTTAATTTCTGACTCAGTCTATGAGAACATTTGATGTTTAGTGTGGTAGGGAGGGACTTGCCTCCAGCCGTGAGGGAGGAACAGTCTAGACGTGGCCTTCTGCTGTAAACAACTAGAAAACTTGATGCAATAGATGAAATAACTATGTTCAGACTTTGGGAAACAGTGCATGACCTTGATTCCAGGGAAGTGAAGGGAAACAAACAAGGTGAACCCTCAACTCACTCAGGCTTTCTTCCTGTGGGCAATTTCCTGATGGTTGTTCAGCGAGAAGGAACACAGACAGCACTTGGTGATCTTGCTAATTTAAGAAGACAGAAATCAGAGTTTAGGAAGGCCACGGCAGCTAGAATTTGTCTTTTAGGGTAAGAGAGAGGTAGAATCTATGCGGAAAAATATCCCAGAAGTTAGCATATGAGTTCCCTTGAGTATTTGACTGGGTACCTATCTGCACATGAGTAGGGCAGAATTCAAGAAGCCCAGGTAAAGAGCGATTACTGGAGAGCTGGATTCCCAAAGTTCACATCAGGCCAGGAGTTGTCCCAGTTTCCACAAGTCAGAGTGGAGGTACTTTGTTGAATACACAAGGAATTAAGCAGAGATCTCAGAGGTGTTACACCTTAGTAATGAGGCTAAACTATTGCCAGAAGAGAGACTATTCTAAACTTGCCCTCAAAGATTAAAAACAAGGTTCAAACTGAGCCATGAGTAACTTAGCTGCCGGCCAAAACACAGGCCAATACTTCTTTAAGAAAAAAAAAACCAACACTCTACACCTTATGAACACAATGGCCGGCATCTGGTCACAATTTTCTAGATATGCAACAAAGTGAGAAGAGGTGACACATTATTAGAAGGAAAATAAAGCAGTAGAAATAGTCCCAGAAATTACACTGATGATGGAATTAGCAAAGGTATTAAAATACCTACTATAAGTACATAGTAAAGGATTTAGAAGAAAACATGAATGTCATAAGATAAATAGAAATACAAAAAAATAACAAAATGGAACTTATACAATGAAAAATAAAATATTTAAGAAATAATATGTTAGTGGATGGGATTAACAGGATATTAGACATTATAGAAGTAAAGATCAGTGAACTTGAAAACATAGCAATAAAAAATAGCCAAATGAGGCACAGAGAGGGAAAAACAAACTTAAAGAAATGAACAGACTCTCAGGGACTTGCAGCATGCTATCAGGAAGTAGACCACAAGTGCAGTTAGAGACACAAAAGGACGGGAGAGAGAGACAGGCCAGGAAAAAAAAACATTTTAAGAAATAATGACTGAAAATTTTTCAGGTTTAATTAAAATGTAAACCCAAATCCATGAAGCCCAACAAATCCCAAAGAAGATGAATGTAAAGAAGACATTATGTTGTCACAAATGGCCAGATTTCATCATTTTTTATGGCTGAGTAGTATTCCATTGTGTATATACACCACATCTTCTTTATCCATTCGTCCCTTGATGGGCACCTAGGTTGCTTCCAAATCTTGGCTATTGTGAATAATGCTGCAGTGAACATAGGGGTGCATGTATCTTTACGCCTTTGCATTTTCAAGTTCTTTGGATAAATACCCAGCAGTGGGATACCTGGACGGACCTTGAAGGTATTATGCTAAGCGAAATAGGTCAGAGGGAGAAAGTCAAATACCATATGACCTCACTCATAAGTAGAAGATAAAAACAACGACAAACAAACACATAGCAATGGAGATTGGATTGGTGATTACCACAGGGGGAAGGGGAGAGGGGGAGGGAAAAAGGGGTGATTAGGCTCACGTGTGAGGGGATGGACTATAATTAGTTTTTGGGTGGTGAACATGATGTAATCTACACAGAATTTGAAATGTATTACGATGTACATCTGAAAGCTATGTAATGTTATAATCCAATGTTAGTACAATAAAATAAATTTAAAAAAGAAAGAAAACATTACAGTGGCTAGCCTGGTGGCATAGTGGTGAAGTTCACATGCTCTACCTTTGTGGCCCAGGATTTGCAGGTTCAGATCCTGGGCATGGACCTACAAACTGCCCATCAAGCCATGCTGTGGTGGCATCCCACATACAAAATAGAGGAAGATGGGTACAGATGTTAGCTCAGGGCCGATCTTCCTCACCAAAACAAAAGAAGAAGACATTATAATTAAATTGCTAAAACCAATGATAAAAAGAAAAATCTTGCTATCAGCCACAGTAAAAAGGTCTGTTACATACAGGGGAACAAAGTGAAAATTAGAGCAGACTTCTCATCAGAAACTACATGTGAGGCAAGAAAGGAATGACATCTTTAAAGTATTGAAAGAAAAATCAATTTCGACCTAGAATTCTATTCCCAAGGACAGTGGAATGGCATGAAGTGCTGAGTGTAAGAAAAAAAACTGTCAACTTAAACTTCCATACCAAGTGAAAATATCTTTTCAAAAATTCAGTCAAAATAAAGACTTTTCAAACAAATAAAAGCTGAAAGAAGTCATAATTCTCAGATCAGCACTACGGTAAATGTTAAAGAAAGTTCTTCAGGCAGAAGAAAATTATACCACATAGAAATTTGGGTCTATACAAAGAAAATAAAAGCACCAGAAAATATAAATATGTGGCTAAACATAAAATATAATATGATTTTCTTATTTCAAAAATTTATTTTAAAGATTATTTAAAGCAAAAATAATAATTCATTGTGGGGGGGGGTCATAAAATATGTGTAAGTAAAATGTGTTCAGACAATAACCCAAAGGATGGGAGGAGGAGATGAAAGAATATTGCTTTAGGAGTCTTACATTATGCATGACGTTGTGTAACATTATTTGAATGTAGACTCTGGTAAGCTAATGGCACACATTGTCAACTCTACAGCAATTGCTAAAGCAAAACAAAGAAGTTTATTTAGCTAGTATGCCACTACTGGGGATAAAATGGAATTCTAAAAAGTTCACATTAATTCAAAAGAAGGCAGAATAACAGGAAAAAGGAAACAAAAAACAGATGGGACAGATAGAAAAAAAGAAAGAGATGATTGACTCATATCCAACCACACCAATAATTATAATAAATGTAAATGTACCAAACACTTCAAGAAAAGGCAAAAATTGTCAGACTGGAGATGAAAGCAAGATCTAATTATGTGCTGTTTACAAGAAACTCACTTTAAAGGCAGTGTGTTTTGATGTTTACTTTTGTATTGTGTAAGTGAAATAGTGCTTGCCAAACAAATTGAAAATGGGAGAAAGTTTAAACTGCTCAGATAATAAGCAATTCTTCAGTAATTTTGGACTAGTAATTTTTCTTCCAACAATTTGTGTGATTTCTGGAATTCACAAGAGCAAGTCACAAGGCCAAAAACAGGATTATTTCTTAGCCCTCATTCTGTTTTCAGATACATAAAGTTGCTCAGACTTTCACAACTACAACAAAAATTTCACAATTCTTCAGTTTTTATGAATTATAAGGTTTTGTTACATAGGAACTTTTGTGATTAAACATTACTTGCTCTTTCAGAAAAGAAAAACGTATTTTTACTTTTCTGAGAATAATTAATACATATTAATATAAATAAGGATAAAATTCAACTGTTTCATTTTTTAACTCTACAAAAAATAATGTAGCCAATTCCCTTTATAAAAGAAATTATTATTGAAAAGCCTCCAGATCCAGCATGGAATGAATTGAAATTCACATCTGAACTTTAAGGTCATCAGGTATATTCCAATCCATGTACTTAAGGTTCCTTGCCATATAGAGTTTTTTGAAAAGTTACCCTTTTTCTTTTTATCGTAATATGAAATCACATCCTCATCTGAAATAGAAGACTTTCTGGAGACATCATCTTTAAGGCATATGAAACATCCCTGTGTTACAGGTCATACGGAAAGGAGAAGTGAGTTGCTGCTGGATTTGTACGGGCTGCAAAGAGAATGAATACGTGCAAGATGAGTTCACCTGCAAAGCCTGTGACTTGGGGTGGTGGCCCAACGCAGATCTAACAGGTAGGAGCTCCCTCACTTGTAAACACTGTCGCCAACTATTGACCTTTCCAGTGTGCCCAGTGTGTAGGATGTGAGCAATTAGCTCATGTCTTTTTCAATATTTACTTACGGTGTGAATTTTTTAATGCTCATGTCAAAGAGTACACAGAAACTCCTTATAAGCTTTCCATGATCTATATTGAAAGGAAAGTTCATTTAAATCTAAATGAAAGTGTATCAAAAGAGTATTCTAGTATACCAGTTGTCTTCTGTTTTTCAGTTTTAAAATTTTATTTGAACATATTTCTAGTCACTTTAATTTATGAGGTGACATACATTTATTATAATTTATTATAATATATATTTATTATATATATTATATAATATATATTATAATATATATTACATTATTTATTCATTTCTTGAACATCTATGTATGAGCCACTATTGCAGGCCCCAAAGGTACAAAGATAAATGGAACACAGCCTCCAATTTTATTGTGCTGAAAATCTACCAGGGAAGAAACATGGAAAAAATACATAACATAAAATAGTTATTAATATAATAGAAACCTTTATAAAATGTTGTAAAATTTGTTAGGAAGACAAGGAGATGAAAAAAATTCCAGACAGAGTAGAGAACGTAAGAAATGTGAAAGCATATAAAGCATATAGTACATTTAGGGAAAATCGTGGAACAACTATATGATGTTGGTTGGCAAACACTAGGGCCTAGTAGAGAAGTGCTCAGAAATGAGTCTGGATGAGTACACTGGAAGTGGATGGTAAAAAGCATCTGCACGACCTTTTCCTAAGAGTTTGTATTTTGACTTTCAGCAGAGGAGAACCATTGAAGGATTTAAAGTGGTGAATAACCATCATGATGTCTGTGTCTCAGAAAGATGCCCCTGGCAGCAATATGGATGAGGGTAGTGAGACTAGACTATAGAAAGATGCTGGGGAGCCATTGCACTGGTCCAAATGAGTAATTTCGTAGAGTGTGGATTAGGGCAGCTGCAGCAGAAATGGAGAGGAATAAATGATTGCAAGAATGATTTACTAGTAAAATCAATGGGACTCATATGGATGGATTACATGAGTTTGTAAGTTTCCTAAAAGGCACCTTTCAGATATATGAGTTTTGTTTTCCACAGACCGTGGTTCAAGCTAACACAAGAGAGGTGTTTCACAAACACTTTTCAGAAATTTTAATAGTAATAGAGCCATAGAGACTTTGTCATCTGAGTAACCTAATTCCTCCTTTGGGAAAGAGGAAGCTGACACCTAGAGAGGCAGACTTGTGTGCCTAAGGTCATGAAATTATTTAGAAACAGAACCTCACTCACTGACTCCTGATCCTACACCTCCCTGGTGTTGTTGAAAATCATTAGAGAGGGTAATGTTCTTGATGGTTATTTACTTTTTGACTTACACCCAAATTACAGTATAAAACAAAGACATTGTGTATCTTATTCAAAGCACACCAAAAGTGACTGGGTGAGTAGAACCAGGTCGCATAATTAAAATTATACTTATTAAGTGAGAGTACCTTGTAAAATGGTTAATCCTGTTAGAAAAAAATTAGTCTGAGTATCAGAAAGTTTTTAGAAATCACCTAGTACAAAGGCATTTTGTAAAGAAAATGGAATTAGATCAGAATAGTTTTGAGGGTACAAAGTGTATCTCACTCATCTTTTTATTCTTTAGCTGAAAATTGGTTTTCAACTTTAATCTGCCTAAAAGTTACCCAGGAATTACCCACCTATGGAGATTCCCACAGCCTAGTTCTGAGACTCATCCTTCGAGAAACATTGCTCTCTGGCTCATAGCCTGGTGCCTTGAACATACTAGCAACCTAATAAATGTTGTTCTATCAAGAGAATTAGAAAGAAGAAGGGACCGACTGAAGTTCCTCCAGGTCAATGCAGCTGGTTAATAGAGAAGCTACTACGAGAATCCAGGGGTTCTGTAGCTGGGTCTAATGCTCTCTCACTATGCCATTTATCTCATGGTTGCATGCAATGGACTGGCATGGAGAAGCTTTTCCAACCTCTTTTTTGGACACAAGCCTCCTTTTGCACTCATGTGTGTCTCTCTTCACATCTTTATCCTCCTTCATAGTGTGTGTTTCCTGCTGGGCTTTTTATCTTGAGTGAGAAGGTCCCCTTTGATCACCCACTGTGTTTGGGGACTGGAGTGGACTTACTCCTCAGTCCTCTCTGCTATTTGACTGAGATCAGAGCTGACTAGGAAGAGGTTCTCTCTCAGGTTCATCTGAGAAATCAGAAGTCCTGGCTTTGAGTTACAAGAGTTCTTCTCTTGTCTACGTTTTTTTTGAGGCTTCCCCAAACTTTTCTTACTGCTCCATTTTCACCTTAATTTGAGCTTATCTCATACATGAAAAAGAACTTCCATTCTATCTTAAAACATTAAAATACAAAAACTTTCTTAAAAGATCTAGTGTGTTATAGTAATGGAATTCAAAGTCATATATTTTATTCCCCAGAGATCTTCCATTGTGGGTAGGTTGTCTGCCCACTGCCAAATGATCACCTCCATTGATTAGGGCTCTTTGACTTAGTAAAGAATAAAAAATATCCTCCTTGACTGTAAGTAGATCAATGGTAATGCAATTATCTTTCTAAAGAATTTAGTCTACTATCACCCATCATATATGTAAAAGTCACTTTGACATTCAAATGAGTTGAGCCAAGCAACAACTCAAACTGCCTTTATCCAATAACAACAGATAAGTGGCTTCTTTTGGATCATATATCCAAGTTATTTTGAGAATCTTACGTTTAGGGTCTTGCAGAATATACCTCTCTCATACTAATTTCTACTTGGTTTTAATGACGCCTATTGTTTCTCCCTCCCTTTGAGTCTTATACATGAAGAGAAAATGAGATTTCATTTGCCACTTACTTGGTGCCGTGTCAGGCTCAGAGCGAGGGCGCAGTACACGGCAATGCGCTGTTGGTTGTTACCATGGTAGCAGTAGTTGTGAAAAGAGAAAACCCACAGGCTCAGAGTACCAAAAATCAGCAGAAATGCTCAGAGGTGTAAATGCATTGCCTTTAAGTAGGTGTTTTGTCTTCATGGGTGGATTTTTTTTTGCACTGAATTTTTAGTTAAAATAAGAAATTATTCTTTGGGAAATTATTCTTTGGTGTTTATTACTGAAGGTAGAGTTTGTTACAGTATGCTTAAAATCATTTTATGAAATAGCTACTTTCCATATATGCTCCAAAGACTCTAATATTAATGAATAAAAACATGTTTATAAGTGAGTTTTTATTTTCATTAGAATATGTTGGGTTTTAGCTATGAAGAAAAATTGGTATATTTCTTAGAGGAAGTGCTTTATGAAGCTGTTGATAACTTTCTTATATTTTCTTTTTGGAAAAATGCATATTTTAATTCAGCATTAAAATTCACACTTTATTTCTTATGATGCCTAAAGAGGGATCTCTTCTGCTGTGATACACAAGTTGACAGTAGTTTAACAATTCATGGACCAATTATATGAAATCCAGTGCTACTTACTGCTTTTAAAAAGTCAATTAGTATAAAAGGATTCCTCAGAAAGCCAGTCAATTTTATCATTAAAAAATACGAAGAGGGGCCAGCCCGGTGGCACAGCGGTTACATTTACACGTTCTACTTCGGTGGCCCAGGGTTCATTGGTTTGGATCCCGGGTGTGGACCTATGCACCTCTTATCAAGCCATGCTGCAGCAGGCATCTCACATATAAAATAGAGGAAGATGGGCACAGATCTTAGCTCAGGGCCAATCTTCCTCAGCGAAAAAGAGGAGGATTGGCAGCAGATGTTAGCTCAGGGCTAATCTTCCTCAAAAAAAAAGTAAGAAAAAGAAAAAAATAGGAAATGCTGAGTTATAGAAATTAACTAATTTAACTATTTTTCTCCATCCTTACAGTTGCTGTGACCTCTCATATTATGTACTCATTTATCTAATTTTATATTAAATACTACCACCTGCTTTGTGCCAGGCATCTTTTTGAGAAACTGGGGAGATGTGGGTGAATGAAACAAGGTTTATATCCTGGGGGAAGTGCTTCATACGAAACTAGACATGTAAACAGTCAATTATAATATAAGTCATATAGCAGGAGTATGTGCAAAATATTGTATGAACACAGAGAAAAAAGCAATTATTTTTCCCTGGGAAGAGAAAAGCCTTCACAAAGGAAGGAATATTTGAGCTGAACATTGAATAATATATAGAATTTCACCACGTAGTTAATTAATATTAATGTAATAACATTAAAGAAAGCATTTTTGATGAAGTCTTATATAATCATAAAATATTATTGTAAATGTTATTAACTGTCCCAGGACACTTTGGGTAGAATAATTGTGGCCCTTGATTTCTTGATCATATTAAATTTTCTTAATAAAAAAGAAGTTCTATATTAACCCTATCCGCCTCCAATGCATTTGGATCTTACACGTGAGTCAATATTTGGTTCAAAAATTAGGAGTAACCCCTGGTCCTCAGATCAGAGTTATTACCACTTCTCTTGGATTTTGCTCAGTAATTTGTAATCCACTTGAAGGAAACTGACTTGTCTGGTGGTTCTGGGTTCTCTGGGGTAGCTCTAACCGGGGACACCGCCAGGTCCTTAAGTTCTCAGGGCTTTAGATAAGGTACGCACAACTCCCAGAAAGCCTTCTCCTTCTGGCTGCTGGGGGTCAGGTAGGTTCCAGACACTCTTCACCACTGGTTCAAGGTAGCCCCCTCTCTTCCAGTCTTGGGGTACCAATCACATCTGGTGGTTGGACAACTCTTCTCCCTAAACCTCAAAACAGGACAAAAAATGCATTACATTACATATATGAACAATATAGATATTATAGCTATTTCTTCAAGATATTAAATCTAGTGCTTCTCAAATTTAGGATGTTGAAAAAAACGAAAGAAGAAAGGAAAGGAAAGAAGAAAAAGGAAAATAAAAAAAAACCTTTTATGAAGCTTATTCAAAACGTAAATGAGCAGTC